CCCGCCTTTGAACATGCTGTCCACCTCCCCGCCCCCCAAGGGTGCTCTTCTGTTCCTTATTTGCCTGCAGACCCTCCTTCACCCACTTATTTCCAGCTCAGGCCTTCCCTGACCCCATAAACACCGTCACTTCCTTCTTGCCTGTGTCAGCATTGTTCTTAGAACTATCACAGAACTATCATCTTGAAGTTATTTCTCTATGTGTCCATCACTCCCACAGTCCCACATGCTGTAGCCGTGTATCTGTCCCCTACGGCCTGTCCATGGTGATTCATTGAAGGGTTTGCTGAAGACTAAATAATTCAACTTTTTCTATTGTTGTCCTGATGGTAACTATAACAAGGGGCATAAAGATTAGACTTCAGGAGGAACTGGTGGAAAAGAGGAACACAGCAGGGCAAATATGCTATTCATCTGTCATCCCTCAGCCTGGTAACTTCCCCGAGAGCGGGGTCATCAACCACAGAACGTTTACTCCAAGGGGAATTTCAAGACCTGGTCACCCAGCCAAATGCCAGAGAGGACAATCGCTTTGCCTAAGGTCGCAGAGCTGGCTAGGAACAGGGCTGGAACTAGGCACCAGGTGGCTCTGGAAAAGGTTGGAGTAGATGGCTACCTCACATCATGAACGGCGTCCCTTTCTACCCATCTTAACCCCCTGAAAGGACTACCTGGGGTTACTCTCGGCTCTTAAAGCACCTGCTGGGACCTTGGCTGGCTGGAGTTGCCAAAGCCCTGTAGAGTGGGGGAGGGGATCCAATGACTCCCATTTTACAGGTTGGCAAACCAAGGCAGCAAGACTGGGTGTCACACTGCTAGCTAATGACACAGGCAGGACTTGGCACTACTGTGTGCTTCTTCCCAGCGCTGCCGAGTCACTATTTACAATAATCATGACGATTGGCCTCCTGATGCCTGGGAATCCCCTCACTCCCACTAGTTCCTCTTTAAGTTAACATCCCTCCTCTTGCATAGGAAAGAACCAGTACACCCACCCTCGCACCCCAACTACACCTGCTGGAGAGACCACCTCCGAGTCATAACCTTTGTCGGGGAAATCACCCTCACCCTTTCCCGTGCTTGACACTTGACGGTGTCACTGCTCACATCATCCCTGAGTTTGGTACTACCGTCCGCATTGAGACGGAGAAATCGAGGGTCCCGGGTAAAGCATTACTAACTCATGGTCAAAGCCAGTAAGTGGCGAGGATGGGTCTCAAACGGAGGTCGTTCTGACTCGACCGCCCCCTCTTCCTATTAGGTCACGCCAGGCTCTCCCAGCGGTCAGGTAAACTACCTGAAGCCTCCTACTGGCTGGGTTTGCTTCAAGGAAGTAACTTAACCTCAGTGGACACCCCCAAGGTCAGAAGCTTTGCTTTTATTGAAGAAATCGGCGTGCAAACGAAACAAAAATCCACGGGCGTCAGCGCAGCCCTTCCCTGGAGCGCGGGGCTTTCTAATGAGAGGGTGCGTCTCCGGCTCTGAAGACCTGCGAAACCGAGCGCCCGGGCCGCCAGCAGAAGCGAAACCTCAACATCCTCCAGCCTCCCCCGCTCTGTTCTGGGAACCCGCGGGCCAGACTTCGTGGAAACGCGCACCGCGGCAGCTGCCTCGAGCTCCGGGGCCTCCCCGACTACAGCCCGCAGGACCGGGCCGGGAGGTTCAGGGGGCGGCGCGGTCGGGCCCGAGAAGCAGCGCGAGGCGCGCTTCCGCCCCACTCGGCTTCGGCGGCTGCCGCGGCGGCCCCACAATCCCCTTCTGGCTCCGGGGACGGGCGGGGCGGGGCGGGGCGGGGCGGGGCGGGGCGGGCCGAGCGGGCGGAAATAATTTTCTGTTTGGTCCTCTCTGCCCCAGTCCCTTAGCCGCGGGTCGCGCGGGACATCGAGATATCGGAGGCGGGAAGAGGGAGCGGGAACGCGATGTCCTGGCATGCTTAGAGGGGCGGAGGGGGGGTGAGCACGGATGGAGCGCCTACTGTATGCTTTAGCCCTTTACAAAAGGATTTTCGTTAAATCTTTCCTACAGCTCTTTCAAGAAGCCTTTAATGCCCACATTTAAAAGGGACAAGCTTAACCTCGGAAAAGTAGTCACTCACTGGCCCAAAACTGCACACCTGGGATCAGCGTGACCCCCCAAATAAGCGCTCAGTTACACGAAGCACGGTGAATTTGAACCACTTGTTGGCTAAGTCCTGCTCTTGCCTGTGTGTGTGTGTGTGTGTGCGCGCGCGCGCGCGTGCGGGGGGGGCAGGCACATAATAAGTGCTCGGAAAAATATTGGAAGCCGGAGAATAAGTTTGACAGTTCAGCCTTGGGAGTGCTCGCCGCGAACCCAGCTCATCGCGCGTAACGCCGGGTTCCCCCGGGACCTCGGAAAGGAACTTTTGCGATGGGAGGGCGGACGTCTGATTTCGACACAGGAATTCGGCGAACAAGTGCTGGCGGAGCCCCAGCCCTAGCGGAGGACAGACTGGATTCAAATACCGGCTCTTTCAGGATGTGTGACTTTGGGCAAATCGCTTCATCCGCTGGAAACTTGGTACTTCCATCTATAAAATGGAGATATTAACACCCAACCCAAAGGGTTGTGAAGAACATTAAACGAAAAGGTGTTCCTAATACTTACTAAACGCACAAGTATCGTAGCGCGTTCATTCCACAAGTTTCAGGCGGTGCATACGCACCGGGCGAGGACCCTAGAAAAGGCTCCTCTGTCCCAGTCCCCAGGGCGCCCTCGCCTAGACTCAGGGACCAACGCGCTTTCGAGTGACCCTCATCCCACGAAACCCCGAAACTGCGGCCACCTCTGCCGCCGTCGGTCCCGAAAGCAAATATTCAAATATTCCGAAACTGGCGAATGGCTAGGAATGAGATTTTTGCGATTAATTTTCTTTAAGTTTTATTCCTGTCAGTAAAGGTAATTTCTTGAGACTTCCCGTCTGTGCCTTGTTTAACTTTTCGTATGAGCGAAGTTCACAAAGCGGACCATACTCGCGCGTGGCAGTCGTTGCAACGATCCCAAACTTCGGACCCGCCTCCGGCAACCCCCTGGCTTTCGGCCCCCTCCCCTAAGCACGGAGGCGGCAGAGACAGGCCTCCTCCTGCCCCTCTCGTTTAGACAGAACCTCTTCATCCTGGCAGCCCTCCGGAATTCCCGAGTCCCTGCAGGAGCACAGGAAGGTGGTGGCCGCAGCCCAGAACCCGGCTTCCCCAACCGTCTTAAACTCCAGCTTTGCCGGGATTAAGGGAGTAAATCCCTACGCCACAGACCAGGTCAAGGACAAGTTCTCCCCCGCCCTACTCCCCACTCCAGGGCGGGGATTCACCCACCCCACCCCTTCCCGGATGAAAGGTACTAAATAGACGCGAAGGGAGGGGTGGTGGCGGGCCCGGGCCCCTTGATGTTCCGGTTGAACAGGTGCTAGTGAAAAGGAGGCGGTCCCGGCGGAAGAGTCAGCCAAGGGGGCAGTGCGCGGAAGGGGGGGCAACCTCTTCCATCCTCTGTACCCTGCGGGTCTTCCCCTCTACAGTGCGTCTGCCCCTCCCCCGCAGGAAGCGTCCCCGGCCGAGAGGTCTTTGAAGTGTCGCTGAAGCCTCTCCGAACTGCCTTCTCTCCTCCGCCACACCACCTCCCAATGAGGGAGTGTGACCTTTGGTCCCTGCAGGCGTCCACCCCTTTTTAGGAAGTTGGGCGGGGGGTTCAGATTTCGTCCCCCTTGCCCACACGGATCTTGGGGATGAAGCCTTTGGTCTGACACCCCCCTCACTTCTTCCCAAACTCAATTTCAAGGACTTTCATTGGGGGGGGGGTGCTATGTGTGTGACTTTGTGTTTTGTTTGTGTGCATGCCTAGAGGTCAAGTGTAAATTGTCTGTGACTACGTCCGTAGGGGTGAGTCTCTAACTCGCGTGGGTCTCTAAGCGCGCCTGCTGGGTTGGACCTGGGGTTTTTATCTCCCTGGGAGGGGCAGGTGGTGTGGCTGGATGAGGCTGGGAATTAGTGTGTCTGAGTGCCTTGGTGTGGCTCTAAGGGTTATACGAGTCCGTGTGCGTCCGGATGTGTGTGTCTGTGAGCTGGACCAGAAGCTCCCCGAGGGCAGGAATACCTGTTTTGTTCACCGCTCTCCCCAGAGGCAGCACAAAGTCAGCATTCAATAAACACTTGTTGAATGAACAAATGTTCGCGTGTGCGTGTTAGAATGTCTACCCTCCAGAATGACCTCCGGGGAGAGAGCGCACAGGCGGCCATCCAAAGAGCCCCCAGACACGGAGGGGGTGAGCGACTCACGTCGCGCCAGCTGCTTCTAGCGCCCCTGCCCCTGCTCTCCACTCCCAAGTTTCCTTGGGGTTGAAGAACAGCCGCAGAAACGAAGACCTGGAGGAGTCGGGAGAATCGGACCCGGGGCCGAGAGCGAAGGACTGGCAGGGGGAGGGCTCAGGAGCGCCAACTAAGAACTACCGAAAGAGAAAGAATGAGGGAAAATTCGCGTGGAGCGAGCGAGCGAGCGAGCGAAAAGCTCCCTACCAAGCCAGGCTTTGTTCCCTGAACCTAAGACTTTACCCGGCGGCGGGCGGCGGGCGGCGGGCGGGCCGGGAGCGAGCGAGCGGAGGCGCGCGGCCATGGCTGCCGCGGCGGGGCAGGGAGGCCGGGGGGGCGGTGCGTGAGCGGGCTGCTCGGGGCGGGCGCCCGCGATGTGCCGTTCGGCGCCTCCCCCGCCCGGCCCGGGCTGCGCGGCGGCAGGGCGGCCCTGGTAGCTGGGCGCGCGGCGCGGAGGGGGTGAGCCCGGTGCTCGGGTCTCATTGTTGGGGGGCGGGGGGGGCCCGTCGGGGCATGAGGGCGAGAGCACGGCGGGGGGGGCGGCCAGACCAAGCGAGCGAAGAGGAGGAGGAGGAGGAGGACGCCGAGGAGGAGGAAGGAGGAGGCAAAGAAAAGAAGCCGCGGCGGCGGAGGAGGAGGAGGAGGGAGCGAGGAGGCGCGCGGCCCCCCGCTCCCTCCCTCCCCCCCTGACCCCCGACCCCCGCCGGCCGGCTACCCGCCCCAGCCCCGGAGGGAGCTCATGGGAGTATGAAGGAGATGGTAGGAGGCTGCTGCGTATGTTCGGACGAGAGGGGCTGGGCCGAGAACCCGCTGGTCTACTGTGATGGGCACGCGTGCAGCGTGGCTGTCCACCAAGGTACGGGGGTGGCCCGCGGGGGGCGGCGGGACCCCAGGGGCGGCGCGCGCAGGGCGCCCTCGGCCGCGCCCTCCGGAGACCTCCTGGGGCTCGGGCGCCCCTCCCCCACCCCACCTGAAGGGCTGGGAGGCGTCGGGGCTCCCCCCGCCCTGTCCTGGAGGACCAGGTCAGGCATTGTTTTCTTGCCTATTGTTCCAGTTCCGCGCCCCCCACCCCAACTTGAGGGAGTTTGGAGACAGTCTAGGTGGCAATGAGTGCACTATCCGAGCCCCGCACCGTCAGTGTCGGGGCTGTTAGGAGAATGTTTACCTTAGAGGTGTCCCCTCCTGCCCGGTTATTTTGGTCCCGGCCCCCAGAGGGAGAGGTCAAGGGGGAGTCATCCCCCCTCCCGCTTCCGGATACTGGGAGGAGCGTATTGGGAAGAGAGTAGAAGGGTCCCAGGGGAGAGGGGACTCCTAAAATCCTCCGAGGAAGAGCTGCCGATAGGAGAGAGATTGTGCAGGGGGCCGGAATCGAAAAGAGGGAGGTTTGGAGTTTCCCCCAGCAGCACATGGTTCGGGAGTTAACTCCTTGAGGAATCTTGCCGAGGGTGCAGGCTGGCATCTCCCGCCTGTCTGGCACAGCCAGCTGCCCCCACCCCTTCCTGGGACAGCCCTTAATGTTGTCTGTGTCGGCTCTTCCCGCCACTCTCCTATAGGTTACCTGTACTGCACCTGTCCTCAGCCTTAACTTTTGACCTGCCCTGTTAGAGTTAGAGGCTGAAGATGTGGTCCTTGGACCCCCAACTTTTCCGCTTCTTCCCTTACTGGCCCTTTAAGAAATGCCCCCCCCCCAATAACAACAAAAAACGTGTTTGACTGTTGTAATGTCCCTCTAGTTTTCTCTGTTCTGACGGTCCCCAGCAGAAGTTGGGAAGCAGGTCCTGAAAGGGCATCGGGGCGGGTCTTGTAGAGTTTAAGGTCAAGGACTCAGACTTCCTGCCCCTGCTCAGAGTGTTTGGTTGTGTGGTTGAAGGCTGGCTTGTGCGCTGTTGGGTATTCTTTGTGGTCCTGCTGGCTAGTGAGTGAGCCCCCAGACAGGGGAGCAGCCCCCCCTACTGGAAGTGGCTCTAGTCCTTTAGAGTCACTGCCCTTCCCCGGTTACTCTGGGAAAAGCCACTGTTGACAGGTTTGCTCCCTGACTCTCCTCCCCCCACCCCCAGCTTGCTATGGCATCGTCCAGGTGCCAACGGGACCCTGGTTCTGCCGGAAATGTGAATCTCAGGAGCGAGCAGCCAGGGTGGTGAGTTTGAGCCTCCCCTCCCCTCTCCTGCCCATACACCTGAGCATCTCCCCTGGGTAGGCTAGGGGACTCTGAGCCGGAGACTGGGTGGGACTGTCACACAGGACTTCCTGTTTCCTGCACGCTATCACCAACCCCATCTCACCCTCGTCTCTGCCCCACCTCAGCCAAGGGACCTTTTATTTTTGTTTGCTGGTTTGTTTGAACTTTTTATTACGGAAAATTTCCGGCCTGTGTGGAAGTAGAGGGAACACGACAAGGAACCTGACGTTCCCATCACCCGTGCTCAATGCTTACCAGCTCGTCCTGCTCCCTCTGCACACAGCTCATTGCCCCACAGACAGCTGTTTCCTCCTGGGGCCCTTTGAATGTGTCGGGCAGGGCAGAGCGGCAGATCCCCACCCCCTTTTGAGAAGGCTCCCCTCCATCCCTGTGCCCCTTGCCTTGGCAGAGGTGTGAGCTGTGCCCACACAAAGACGGGGCATTGAAGAGGACCGACAATGGAGGTGAGCGGGCCCTGAGCTCCAGGCCTCATCTGCTGAGGTCAGCAAGGTCCCCTGAGCAGGGTCCGGGGAGGCAGGAGTGCGCGTGTGTTGGAGTGCGTGTGTGTTGGTGTGTGTGTGGGGGGGTGTTTCATCTCCCTTTCCCAGCTGGCACTGGAGTCTGATGGGAATGCCATGGAGGAGGAGACTGTCTGCTGTGTGGGGCAGTGCGGGTCGGGGTCTCTGGCTCAGCTCGCCGTCGCAGCCCCCGCCTGCCCCGCCCCAGGTTGGGCCCACGTGGTGTGTGCCCTCTACATCCCCGAGGTGCAGTTTGCCAACGTGCTCACCATGGAGCCCATCGTGCTGCAGTACGTGCCTCACGACCGCTTCAACAAGGTCAGCGCCCCCCCTGCTGTGCCCGCCCCCCAGCCCCTCCCTAGCCGGGTCCCTCCACCTCTCTCTTCACCCCGTGTAATTCGATGCTGTCCAGCGGACAGTGTCAGGCTGCTCGGGAGGTGAGCAGGCACCTTTCACTGACAGGCACACTCACGGTCTGGGATTCAAGTACTGCCAGAGGGCAGACCTTGGCGAGCAGTCCATTCGTTCTCGCCCTAAACACACTTTACAGAGTGCCTACTATGTGCTGCACCCGGGGCGAGGTGCTACCAGGCACCTACCAGGTGTCACACCTGGGGTGAGGGGCCACCAAGCTCACCGCGTTCAGCAGTGATCAAGACGGGTGTTCTTCCTACCCCGTGGAACTCACACTCTCGTGTGGGGAAACTGTAATGGCCAATAAACAGGCAAATAAAGTGAATAAAGTTTGTGGTAAGGCTGTGGAAAAAACAAGGCACTGAAATAAGGAGTGCCTCGTGGGGGGCTTTCCTTAAATGCGGTGGGGAAGGAAAGGGACATCTTTAGGCAGGGTCTGGGGGAGGAGGAGCCAGGCTGGAGGAGGGAACCTGTCTCCAGGTTCTAGTCGGAGGCCAGAAGAGTGAGTGAGGCGGGCACGGGACTTGGCCTCGCGGGGCTCACTGTGCATGGACTGTGCTCTCTGTCATGGTAGCCATCAGCCACATGTGGCTGTGTAAATTAGTTAAAATTAAATACTACTTAAAATTCAGTTCCTCAGCCACAGCTCAAGTGCCCAGTAGCCCATGTGGCTTGTGGCTGCTGTGCTGGACAGCGCAGTGTGGGACATTCTCATCATCGCGGGAAGTTCTGTTGGCTAGCACTGACCCAGGTTAATAGGGAGAGGATGGGAGCAAGGGGTCCCCCGGGTGGGAGGGAGGAGGGGACCATTGTGCTGTGTCCCACAGACGTGTTACATCTGCGAGGAGCAGGGCCGGGAGAGCAAGGCAGCCTCGGGAGCCTGCATGACTTGTAACCGCCACGGATGTCGACAGGCTTTCCACGTCACCTGGTGAGAGCCCTGCCCGCCCCCACGCCTCCCGCTGCAGAGCTGTCTGGGGCCCCGGGCCCGCTGTACCAACCCCCTCCAAGGTCGGCCAGGGCGGGCAGCCGGGTGGGCTCGTCCTGGCTGCTCTGCCTTCAGCTGTCCTGCCAGTGCCGTCCTTGGATGGTCTTGGCTTTGCCCTGGCAGGGTCCAGGAGGGTCTGAGGGAGGAGGCTGGTCTGGCTCGTGGCCGCACCCTGCTCAGGCTGCCCTCTCTCGGTTAGTGCCCAAATGGCAGGCCTGCTCTGTGAGGAAGAAGTGCTGGAGGTGGACAACGTCAAGTACTGCGGCTACTGCAAATACCACTTCAGCAAGATGGTGAGTCTCACCTGCCAGGGCGTGAGCGGGGCAGCCAGGTGTGGTGTAGAGGGTGTGGGCTCTGGGCCAGGCTGCTGCCTCCTGCAGAGAAGATGGGGGGGGGGGTGGAAGGAACCCGGTCCCTGCCCTCAAGGAGCTCATCACAGAATGAAGAATAAATCAAAGTGTAGCCTGAGGATGGCAAATCAGAGTTAGACCAAACAGTCCGTCCCAGAAGACAGAGCTCAGACCCTGCCTGTCAGTCTGGGAGGCTTCAGGGAAGAGGTGGCACAGGAGCTGATGGAGGCGGGAACAGTAAGAGCCAACATGTGATGGGGGATGAGGTCACTGTGCCCTGGCCTCTGTACCAAGTTCTTCACATGGATTATTTTGCATGATCTTCTCAACAACCCTAAGAACTGGTGTGCTGTGTTTTCCCATTTTACAGATGAGTAAAGTAAGACCCACCCCGGTATGTAACTCATCTTACAGCATCTGTGAAGTTCAGAACAGGCAGTTTGGTTGCAGGCTCTGCAGGAGCCTGCCGAGCAAGGACAGAGGGCAAGGAAGCCCAGGCGGAGGGACCAGAAGGGGCCACGTCCTGAGAGGAGAGAGCGAATCCTGGGAGCAGCAGGACAGTGCGTGTTGTGGGGATGAGGCAGGAGATGCTCAGGCAGGGCCAGAGCTGGCTGCCTCGCACCCAGGCTTCAGGGAGCCGAGGAGGAGGGGTGCTCCCTCGTGCACGTGGGGAGCCCTGCGTGCTCCAGAAGCTGTGGGGTGTCCTGGAAAGGCGGGCTGCTGCCCGACAGGGGTGGCAGCGTGGACCTCACCTCCCAGCCGCGGGCTTGTCCGGCTGCTTGTGAGCGGGAGGGTAACATGATCAGATTTGTTTTTAGGGAAGATGACCCTGGCAGGCACTGGGAAGCTGGATCCTGAGGCTGGCGACCAGGGAACAGCTGCAGAAGGTGGGGTGGGGAGGGGATGGAGGGATGAGGCTAGACTCGAGACCGCAGCTAGGTAGGCTTGCCTGTGTGGGGGTAGCTGACAAGGAGTGGCTGAGGGCAGTGTATCAGATCCGAGCTCTCAGTGCCGGGGGGACGGGGCCTGTGCACCTGGGGCCACCGTGGACAGGGGTGTGGCAGGCTACTCTGGATGCTGGGACCATCCAGGGGGATGTGTGTCTGTCGTCCTGGTGTCATTGTTCACAGTTCCCCCTCTCACCTCCAACTGTGTCCCGATGCAGATCAGGTTATATGGTCACCTTGGCTTCAGGGTTTGCGGACGACTTAGGACAGAGTAGGGAGCTCGGTTTGGTTTGTAGAAGGTGCCAAGTGGGAAAGTTTAGGTTTGGTGGCTGTCGGACCCCCTGGGCAGGGTGACAGTGCCAGTCTCAGGTATATAAGGCTGGGGCTAGAATCCCCAGGTGCCCACCAGGGTGGGGTGGGACCGGCTGTGAAGGGAATCGTGAACCGGAGAGTCTTAAGAGCCAGGTGTGGCAAGCAGTGCCCGGGGCGAGACTGGGTCAGACAAGGTCCGAAACGAGTCCTTGGGTTTGGCAGTTGGGAGGCAGTGGGTGACCTTAGAGGGAGCAGCTGCAGGTCTGGGATGGGGGAGCCGCAGACTGGGCCGGGGGGAGCCTGTTAGTGGTGAAGGGGAGGAAGAGCAGGCCCTGGCTGGGAGGAGAGGCAGCGTGAGGGTCACCTGGGTTTTCCCTGTGGATGATTGCTTGCCCCTTCTTGAGGGCGGCCGTCCTGTGGGACCACTGTGTTTGGGGGCAGGGGGCGCAGGAACGAGGGAGGAGAGCTGAGGGCTGGGGTGAGGTGTCTGGAGGGGAGGATGGAGTGTGGAGTGCAGAGGGGACAGGGCTCCTATAGGGGTTCCCTGCACATCCTCCACCCCAGGCCGCACCTCAGGCTGCCTGCCGCGGGCCCAGAGGGCACCGTGCGAAGAGGTGGGTGGAGAGCAAGGACCAAGGCCCGGTCCCACCTCCAGTGTGCTCGGCTGTCGCCAAAACAGTCCCGTCTCTTCTAGACCTCTGTCGCCAAGCCTGTGCCCTGGACAAGCTGGGGGACACTGAGGGAGTCCCCTTCCATGGGGCAGAGCATTGTTCAGAACACAAGGTCCTCTCAGTGACAGGCAGGACAGGGGGACTGGCCCCCAAGATCACTTTCTTCGAGAACCTTTCGCTAAGCTAATGAGAGGAGAATCTGGCAACCCCTCCTAATTCTCTCCCCAGAAGACCTCCCGGCACAGCAGCGGGGGAGGCGGAGGAGCAGGGGGAGGCAGCGGTGGTGGCTCAGGGGGCGGTGGCAGTGGCTTCATCACGGGCCGGAGGAGCCGGTCAGCCTCACCATCCACCCAGCAAGAGAAGCACCCTTCCCACCACGAGAGGGGACAGAAGAAGGTAAAAATCTTCTCCCTCTCACTGTCCTGCGCACACTCATAAACTCACACCTCCTTCAAGACCCCACCCCAAGGTGCCCCTGAGGCCTCGGGCCCCGCCCCCTTCCTTCCTTGGAGGCCATCAAGGGCTGGGAGGGGGCCGAGACGGGGACATACGGAGGGCGAGGTGAGGGCCCAGCTTCCCCGGGGCTCTTTGTGCCTGCATGCCTCCCCCAGCAACCCCCCCATGACATGAGCAGCCCTGAAGCCCCCTGACACATGGCCCGCAAGCCCCACGCTCCAGCCTGGTGCCAGCGCACTTTTTAAGCGTGCGTGCCTGCGTCCCCTCACGCCCCACATCACCGCGAGCTGGCTCCCACCCCCCTGCACAGCTCCGGGTCCCTGGTGGGCACCCCCGCGGGTGCATGCTCACGTGCGTGGTGCTGTGTCACTGGTGTGGTGACGGGACGGGCTGCTGTCGGCAGGTGGAGACGATAAGGGGCTGCTGGCTCTCAGGGGAGCCTGCTGGAGCCACTCCCGTCCAGCCAGCCTCCCGGGCCCTCCACTGGTGGAGACGACGTCCCCAGGCCCATCTCGGGGAGCGGTCCACTCCGAGCGTGCACATGTCCTCTTTACCCCAGTGCCCCCCAACACCAATGTCTGGTCGTCTGTCCTTCCCCAGAGTCGAAAGGACAAGGAACGCCTTAAACAGAAGCACAAGAAGCGGCCTGAGTCACCCCCCAGCATCCTCAGCCCACCTGTGGTCCCCACTGCCGACAAGGTACCGCTGCCCGCACCCAGGAGGGGTGGCCTCAGCCTTGGGGAGGGGTGAGGTGTGAGGGGTGGGGGTGAGCCCGGGACCTGGGCACCACCCACAGCCTGAGGCCCTCCTCTGGGCGTGTCAGGGGGGCTGAGAGTGCAGCCGTGGCAGCCCCCCGACAGCACCCTGAACCCCACTCACCCACCGTCCCGGGAGGGGCGTGGCGTGTCAGGCCTGTCTCCAGAAACAGGCAGCATCTGGATCAGCGAAGGGCAGGCCAGGGAGTCACTGATCCGAGCCAGAGCAGCCCCCTCTGCCCCTCCTTCCAGCCTGCCCTCCCCAGGGAAGGTGACCGGGGGCCTGGAGAAGCTGCTTCCTCCTGTTGCCAGGATTGCTCCATTCACCCCTGCTGCCTGGGGAGGTTGGCAGAGCTCTGGGCATCTTAGCAGAAGGCTCCAGGGTCAGGTTTCCAGGGGCACGATGCTGTGGCAGTGCCCTAGCAGCCCTCGCCCTGTCTCACTTCCCAGGACTCACCTGGAAAAGCTTGTCCCCTCTGTCCTTTGACCTTGCCCGGGGACCTGCAGACAGGTGGAGACCAAGGGCCTGGGAGCTCGCCCAGTGGCTGGGTGTTCCCTTGGACAACAAGTTGGAGCGTTCTGCCCATCCCCCTGCACCCGCCCCAGCATTGCAGCTACCCCTCCCCCAGCCCCTCTCCTCCCTTGCTCCCAGAACCACATCTGGCTCCCTTCAGAACTCCAGCTGCTGGAAAGAACAAAGAGGAAGAGGACACAAGGGCTCCCCCCAGGGAGGGCAGTGCAGGGTGGCCCTGTCCCCCCTTCCCCCTCCCCCTGGCGTTTGCAGGGGTAGCCCCGTTTACCCAGTACCTGATCTCCACCGGGAGGAAAAGCGCCTTCCCCGCAGTGATGCAAAGCTCTCGTTCAGTCACCACACGCCAGCCTCTCTTCTAGAACAGGGGCACCTGCGGGGTGTGTGGGGATTAGCTCATTTAATCCTCAAAATAGTCCAGTGAAGTAGGTATTTTATGAACTCCACTTACTAAATGAAGAAACTGAGGTACAGAGAGCTTAAGTAATATGCCTCAAAGTGCACAGCTAATAAGTGGTGGAGTCAAGATTTGAACTCATGCAGTCTGAGCTGAGAGCCTGGACTCCTCACCACCACAGACACTGTCTCTGCAGTTATCAGTAGCAGCCACGGCCGCCAGAGTCATCAGATCACCCTACACTGTGTATCTAGCGTTGTGCTCCTCAGAACTGCCCAAACAGGCATAGTTAGCCCCATAAGGGCCCTGAAGCTCAGCGAGGTTGGGAGACCGTGGGACACAAACATGGCAGTGAGTGGCAGAGCCCGCCAGAGCCCATTCTCCAGCCACTGCCCTGCCACCGTCGGAGAGGTTACTGGGGACCCCAGATACGGGGACAGTACAGTGTGGCAATTGTCGACGTGGTGGGTGTGCATACGCAGTGCCAGAAAACGAGGACGGGGGACTTGTTCCATCCCTGGTGTCCAGGGTGGCTTCAGGAAGGGGGCCCTGTAGAGCTGGGTTGTCAAGGACGAGACGTTTCCCAGGAAGTGTAAGGACAGGCTCCCCAGCAGAGGGCTAGGCACTGCGGGCTCAGTTTGCCCAGGAGGGAACGGGTGGCCGGGGAACAGGGTGTCAGCCGGGTGGCTGGAGCTTGGGGACATGAGCAGGGGGAGTGGCAGCGGCCGGAGGGCCCCAGGATGCAGCCAGGGCAGCCCTCTTCGCGCCCACGCCACTTCCAGCATAAGCCCATCCTCTGGGGCCTGCCCAAGTATGTATTTCTTCAACGAGTGAGCAAATAGGGACCTCAGGACAGACTCTGGGACTGTGTGTATCGCTCCCCGACTGCGGTGAAGGACAGGCAGCCTCCTGGGTCCAGAATGCTCACGGCTCCTCACTCCCAGAAGTTCCACAGCTGCTTGCCCACCTCCCAGGACCAGGGGCTCTCACCACCGTCTCCCTACCCGAGGGTCCTCCCCAAAGTGCATTCTGGGCTCTCCCAGTAGAGCCCCAGGCCCTGTGTGCTCCTGCTCCGCCCCCAAGTCCCGGGGAACCCAGGCCCAGAGAGCTGGTCTCAAGCCTTCCTCTCTCCCCCCTCCTTCAGGTCTCCTCCTCTGCTTCCTCTTCCTCCCACCACGAGGCCAGCACTCAGGAGACCTCTGAGAGCAACAGGGACTCGAAGGGGAAAAAGTCTTCCAGCCATAGCCTGAGTCACAAGGGGAAGAAGCTGAGCAGTGGGAAAGGTGTGAGCAGTTTCACCTCCACCTCCTCCTCCTCTTCCTCCTCCTCTTCCTCCTCTGGGGGGCCCTTCCAGCCTGCAGGTGAGTGTGGGCAGGTGAGCCTCCTGGAGGAGGCTGGGAGCGGGACAGCCTTTGTCCCTGAACTTTTCTGGCAAGGGCCTTTGCATATTGGTCTGCATCTCATTTGCTTTTTAAATTGGTTCAGGTTAAAGATGGGGGATCCCCACCAAGTTACACTTCTCCAAACCCTCCCGTCAGCCCTTCCCTTTGGGCTGGAACTCTCCTCTCCTCCTTCTTATCATAAGTGGGGAAGCTTGGGGAGGGAGGGCTCACCCATCGCAAGACACACAGACAGTGGCCGAGCTGAGACAGGAAACCAGGCTTCCCCATTGCCCCGACCAGCGCCCTCTCCCACTAGTGCACTTTGGGAGTGGGGTGCCTGGGGCCCGGCTGTAACCCCGTTTTCCCTCTGTGCAGTGTCGTCCCTGCAGAGCTCCCCCGACTTCTCTGCCTTCCCCAAGCTGGAACAGCCAGAGGAGGACAAGTACTCCAAGCCCACAGCCCCCACCCCTTCGGCTCCCCCCTCCCCCTCAGCCCCTGAGCCCCCCAAGGCTGACCTCTTTGAGCAGAAGGTGGTCTTCTCCGGCTTCGGGCCCATCATGCGCTTCTCCACCACCACCTCCAGCTCAGGCCGGGCCCGGGCACCGTCTCCCGGGGACTATAAGTCTCCCCACGTGTCAGGGTCCGGGACCTCAGCAGGCACCCACAAGCGGATGCCCACACTGAGCGCCGCCTCTGCGCCGGCTGAGGAGACCCCTGAGGCAGGCCTGAAGGAGAAGAAGCACAAAGCCAGCAAGAGGAGCCGGCACGGGCCAGGCCGCCCCAAGGGCAGCCGGACCGAGGAGGGCGTCGGGGCCCCACCCGCCCCCTCCCTGCCTGGTGCCCAGCTGGCTGGCTTTACTGCCACCGCTGCCTCGCCCTTCTCAGGAGGGTCCCTGGTCAGCTCCGGCCTCGGTGGTCTGGCCTCCCGCACCTTTGGGCCTTCCGGGAGCCTGCCCAGCCTGAGCCTGGAGTCCCCCCTGCTAGGGGCAGGTTAGTGACCCCTGGGGATGAAGGGCACCTCAGGGCCCAGCCAGTCTGATGATGGGGCAGAGGCTTCAACGTGCAGTTAGAAGGAGAAGGACAGAGATAAAGGGTGGAAGTGACAGCCACATGTAAGACACGCGCCCATGCCCATCTTCTGCATGATTGCCATAGGAGAGTCAGATTGTCAGCAGGACAGAAAGTTTTGATGGGATTACTAGAAAAGAGGAGTCCCCCAGGCCCAGCAAGGCAGTCTAATAAGCAGACAGGTAAAGCAGGTACCACTCAGGCAAGAAGAGACACCTTTTTTTGCGAGAAGGTCAGACCTGGGGTGTGTGTGTGGTCAGATCCAGGGGAGTGTTCCTGGGGACGGGCTCCCCTGGCCTCCGGACTGGAGGGGCCGGGGGGTTCTGTATGCTTCCCTCTGTGTCCTTGTGCACGTAGGCATCTACACCAGTAATAAGGACCCCATCTCCCACGGTGGTGGGATGCTACGAGCGGTCTGCAGCACCCCCCTGTCTTCCAGCCTGCTGGGGCCCCCAGGGACCTCCGCCTTGCCCCGGCTCAGCCGCTCCCCATTCACCAGCACCCTCCCCTCCTCTTCTGCTTCTATCTCCACCACTCAGGTGAGGACTTAACTCCTGGGCTCTCCAGCCCTGGGCAGGTGGGGGACAGGCTGCCGAAACCCCGGCCCTCTGTGGGAACTCGAGATACTGGGCTTGATGACCAGGACGTCTCCCTCTCTGGTCCTCTCTCCTCCCCAGCACACCTGGTCCCCTCCACCCGGTAAACACAGTTGTGCCCTAGACCCGAGAATAACCGCCAGGCTGGACTCTACCTCCTTTCCCTCAGGTGTTTTCTCTGGCTGGCTCTACCTTCAGCCTCCCTTCTGCCCACATCTTTGGAACCCCTATGGGTGTCGTTAACCCCCTCCTTACCCAAGCCGAGAGCAGCCACACAGGTATGTGAGTCTCTGACCCCATTTCCCTTTCTTCCCTAAGGCCTGAGGGGCACCCCATCACCTGCATGTCACCCCCGCAGAAAGGATAGGAGGGTTCCTGGCCGCTCCTTCCCTCTGGCCATTGTTCCCTCTGCAAAACAGAGTTTCGCACACTGCAAACCAGGGTGCACTTGGAGGTTAAAACCGGATGAGGGGGTGGAGTAAGACAGGGGAGAAAGACTAATGCTCCACCTCCCATGAGAAAGATGGGTTAATAAGGCTCAAAGCAGTTGAATTAGGCAGAAACAGAGGTAGCACTCAAGTTCTGGCCCCTCACTCCAGCCCCAGTTCTCTCAGTGCCACAGTGTGGCTCCGGGCTGGCCTCAGGGAGTTGTCGCATAAGCAGTTAGAGATGCCACCAGCGGAGCAACCTGCTTTCGTGTGTGCAGGAGTTAAGGGGGCGGGGCACAATTGCCCCACCCTCTTCCCCCGGGGAGTCAATCTAGTCTTGGAGAGCCGATTGGTGCAGAGATACCACGTGGCCATCTAGGAGGCGGGGTCTGCTGCCTAGCCACCAGTTCAGGTAGACCTTAGACCGAGTCTAATTCAAAATTAAAGACCCAAATCGGAACTCTGGCCCAATCAAGGGTTTTGTCACCTAATTTGTGAGTGTATGTATAAAGTCATACAAAACATAGTAGCTGCAATCATTAAGGGCTTGCCGCATGCAGCTTTACATTTCATCTTTATTACCTTATTTTTAAAAATATTTATTTTGCCCTGGCTGGCGTAGCTCAGTGGATTGAGCTTGGGCTGGGAACCAAAGTGTCCCAGGTTCGATTCCCAGCCAGGGTACATCCCTGGGTTGCAGGCCACGGCCCCCAGCAACCGCACATTGATGTTTCTCTCTCTCTCTCTAGCTCCCTCCCTTCCCTCTCTAAAAATAAATAAATAAAATATTAAAAAAATATATTTATTTTAAGAAAGAGGGGGAGGGATAAGGAGGGAGAATCATCGATGAGTGAGACATACATTGATCGGTTGTCTCACATACGCCCCCAACTGGGGACCCGCTTCCCAGGCATGTGCCCTACTGACTGGGAATCAAACCAGTGACCTTTTGGTTCACAGGCAGGCACTCGACCCACTGAGCCACATCAGCCAGGGTTATGCCTTCCTTTAATCATAATCACTTCAGAGGTTAGTTTCAAGCCCAAATTAACAGCAAGTGTCAGGTCCAAGTTCAACCCAGGGCTGTCTAGGCCCCAAGTTTCCCCAGCATTAAGCTGCCAGGAGAGAAATGGGGGGGTGGATCTGGAAGTAGCCAGGCAGCAGCAGGCTCTCTGCTTAGAGAAAAGGAAGGCACCTGATCCGGGGCTTTACCCGCCGCCCCCCCCACCCCCACCCTGCAGCGGGTGTCGGTGCCGCGGCTCCCAGCGCCCAGTGAGCCAGAACTGCGGGTCAGGTGGGGAGGTCTGGGGGAGGAGTCTGCTGTAAGGTTCCAGGCCCCACACTCACTTCCCAGGTGGGGACCTTGAGGCTGATTGGCACCTTTACCCCTCCCTGACCCCTGCCCCCTTCTCCTTCCAAGAGCCAGACCTGGAGGACTGCAGTTTCCGGTGTCGGGGGACCTCCCCCCAGGAGAGTCTGTCTTCCATGTGAGGGAGCCGGCGGTGGCTTGGGGGAGGGCCTGGGAGCGGGGACTGGAGGGATACCCCGACAGGAGGGGGCGGTGAAGCGGGCACCTGGAGAGGGTGGGGTCCAGAAGGAGATGACTGGAACCCCCAAGGTGAGGAGGGGAGGAAGAGAGAGACCAGAGTGGGGGCGTGAGGTAAGCCTGAGCTGGGTGTTCCCTTCTGACCCCAGGTCCCCCATCAGCAGCCTCCCCGCGCTCTTCGACCAGACGGCGTCCGCACCCTGTGTGGGCGGCCAGTTAGACCCAACGGCCCCCGGAACAACCAACATGGAGCAGCTGCTGGAAAAGCAGGGCGACGGCGAGGCCGGCGTCAACAGTGAGAAGGGGTGGTTCGGGGCTGGGTGACCTGCCCTCGGACCCCCAGACTCAGTCACCCCTCCCCCTGAGGTCCCCAAACGTATTCCAAGTCCCGCCCCTCGGCCCTGCCCCAGTCCTAACTCTTGCCAACTGCAGCCTCACCTTTAACCCTTGCTAGACTCTGTACCTGCCCCCGCAAACCCTTTCAGGGGTGTCCAGCCTGCAGCAGCGGGCCGCAGGTAACCCAGGATGACTGTGAATGCAGTCCTACAGGGAACCATACATTTACTTAAAACATTATGAGGGTTTTTGTGATTACACGTCCCAGTGTATTTAACGTACGGCCCAAGAAGGCTCTCCCAGTGTAGCCCAGAGATGCCAAAAGGTTGGACACTCCTGCCGGGCCTGCCTTTGTCCCTCCCGGACTTCTGGCCCTTGCCTCACTAAGCCTGAACTTCTGCCCTCCCTTTCCCTCCCAATCACAAAGCCTCCGACAGAGCCTCACATCCTACCCCTTGTCCTTACACCTCTAGTTCTCCAGGTCCCGCCCCTCCGAGCTCACCCTTGCTCGTGCTGCTGCCTTCTTTCGCAGGTCTCACTAGGATTTCCCCCCAGGCCCCGCCCTCGGCCCTCTGACCCCGCCCCCAGCCCGCCCCGGCGTCTACCAGCCTGTAGGGCTCAGGCACTGTGGCTCTCTCCCTGCAGTCGTGGAGATGCTGAAGGCGCTGCACGCTCTGCAAAAGGAAAATCAGCGGCTTCAGGAGCAGATCCTGAGCCTAACGGCCAAGAAGGAGCGGCTGCAGATTCTCAACGTGCAGCTCTCTGTGCCCTTCCCCGCCCTGCCTGCCGTCCTGCCCGCCGCCAATGGCCCTGTCCCCGGACCCTATGGCCTGCCTCCCCAAGGTAAAGGGAGCCCGCCCAGCCCGGGAGTAGGGGCCTCTGCCGGGCAGCAGGAACGAGCCCCGACGCCAGCCCTGACCTGCTTCCCGGATCCCCTTCCCTCAGCCGGCAGCAGCGATTCCTTGAGCACCAGCAAGAGCCCCCCAGGGAAGAACAGTCTCGGCCTGGACAACTCCCTGTCCACGTCCTCCGAGGTGGGCACCGCGGGGACGGGCACGAGGGCAGAGCAGAAGAGGGGAGGTGCCAGGGCCTCCCGGTCCAACCTCCACCCTGCAGCTATCGAAGTGCCGACAGTGCAGTGATCGGCTGAGCAATGAGTTGACTGATCAGTCCCTTCCTTCGTTAGATAAGTAATAATGACAAGGTGTCTACTTAGTGCCAGGCACTGGCAAAGCAATCAGTTGAGCAAAACGATCTTAGTTCTGCCCCTGATGATAGGCTAAGTCCAAGAAGACAATAATTGCAAAGAGGGAAAAGCACTAGGAAAGAAATAATTTGAAGGCCGTGAGGAAGGACGGCGGTTGGGATTCTTCTGTAGACGTCAGGTGGTCAGGGAGTGCCGTGGGGAGAGGCCCTTGGGAAGGGTTCACTGCAGCGCCTCACACAGAAGAATCACTGTGTGACTGGCCCTGCTGGGGGTCGCGGTCACTGCCGTGGCATCGTGGATGTCGTTGAAATCCAGCAGCCTGGTTTCTTGTTCTCCCTGCCACTTCCTGGGACTCGGGCAGTGACCGCCTTCAGAACTGATATTAATTAATATCTTGCACACCTGCCCTTTGTCATGACCTGTGCTGAGGCTCCTAAAGCACTGGTCTGTGCAGTCTTCACTGTGGTGTAGGTGCTGCCCTTATCCCCTTGCCATGAGTGCGTAGACGGGGGCGGAGAAGCTGCCCGCGCCACGGAGCCGTGGTCTCAGGGTTCGAACCCGAGCCTTCCGCTCTGGCTGTCTGCGGCTCCCGGGCCCCAGAGTCAGCGGTTCGCCTGGGAAACGGGAATAACGAGATGGTGCAGGCCCAGCACTGAACCCAGTTCTGGTTCACGGGGCGCTCTCCACCACCATTGATGTTTAGTGCTAAACAGAGAGGGCGAGGGGTGCTGGGCCCCCAGGAAGTGGTCCGTAAACAGAATTTGCGAAGATATGTAGGCTTCTTAGCCGTAATCCCTGGGCCTTGCTTTCTCCTCGCGGGTGGCTCTGCCTGGGGGTGAGGTGGGGGGGCTGTGCTCTGTGAGAATGCTGGTGGGTGCTGGGCCGGGGGCCAGGGAGACCGTGCTGGCCCCCTGCCCCTCTGACCCCTCCCTTCCCCCTCCCTCCCCAGGACCCACACTCAGGCTGCCCCAGCCGCAGCAGCTCGTCGCTGTCCTTCCACAGCACGCCCCCACCGCTGCCCCTGCTCCAGCAGAGCCCCGCCACTCTGCCCCTGGCCCTGCCCGGGGCCCCTGCCCCGCTCCCGCCCCAGCCGCAGAACGGGCTGGGCCGGGCACCGGGGGCAGTGGGGCTGGGGGCTATGCCCATGGCTGAGGGGCTGTTGGGGGGGCTGGCGGGCAGCGGGGCGCTGCCCCTCAATGGGCTCCTGGGAGGGTTGAACGGGGCTGCTGCCCCCAACCCTGCAGGCTTGAGCCAGGCTGGTGGGGCCCCCACGCTGCAGCTGCCAGGTTGTCTCAACAGGTGAGGGAGAGCTCAGCCTGGGGAGTGGAATGGGGAGGCTGGCTCTGGGAGGGACTTGCCCCAAACACCCACAGTCCCCCGAGGGGAAAAACGTCCTCCAATCTTACAGGTCTGAGAACCTAGTCAGCTCTTGGCCCCAGGTGCGCCCTAGGTGCTAGACGGGAGTGCCTCCGGACGGCCGCCCTCTGGGTCGGAACCGCCCGTTTATTTCTTAGCCCCAGTCGAGGTCTTCCTTCTGGGGGAGTTCTTCCTTCTAGCTTGTCTCCCGCTGTCCTCTCCAAGCTCAGGCTGCTCCTCTTTAGCTCTCTAAAACCATGCATCCCTGCCTCTCTCCACCGGGGTATGAGGGAGTCTGGGAACTTGGGGGGAGTGTTTCCCTGTCCCTTCCCATGGTCTGTGTTCTGTCCCCCTGCCCAGCCTAACCGAGCAGCAGAGACACCTCCTGCAGCAACAAGAGCAGCAGCTCCAGCAGCTCCAGCAGCTCCTTGCCTCCCCACAGCTGACCCCGGTAATGCCCTCCCTTCTGAGGCCACCACCCCCGTGGTGGAGCGCCCTGCTCCGCTGGCAGGGCAGAAGGGCCCATCGCAGAGGGCCTGGGCCAGCCTGGGGATGGGGGCAGCCCCTGTGGGACTGGAGCGCCCCCTATGGGATGAGGGGGATGAGGGGGGTAAGGGTTGCTCTCAGGGCCCCCTAGGTACTGGGGAAGGGACGCTGTGGTGGCCCTGATCGCATGCTAGTCCTCAGTCTTTGAGCATTTCCAGTCCCAGCTCCAGGGGTCTTGGGGGTGTGGGGACTTCAGGGTCTGTGTGGAGGGTGACGGAGCAGGTGACGCCCCCGAGCGGAGCAGCACCTCGTGGGTCTGCCTTTATGTTGGGCTCTGCTAAGATCTCCGTTGGAGGAAAGGAGTTGTGCCTTTCAAAAAGGAGGGAGTTGAAAATGTATCTTTAAAAAAATCATTTTCCCATAAAGGAACATGAGAAAGAGACGAGAAACCAATTCAGCCGGTGACCTGCATGGGCCAGAGGGGAACAGGGGCAGGAGCAAGGTTTCCTAGGGTGCAGGTTGATGTGTTGGTTTGGGCTTCGGACCACTCAAAAATGCCTTGCCTACTCAAAGCAAAAATAAGTTCATCTTAAATGAAAAAAAAAAGGAACAAAAAAAGGGGGAGTTGAAAACTTGACCTAATTTAGTATTTCTCAATTTGGGGTCTTACCACCCCTGGGAGCATTTGTCGTTGTCATAGCGACCGAGGAACTGACTTAGGGAGCGGGGCGGGGCCAGTACCGCCCACTTGAGGGACCCTGATAGTGTGCAGCCACTTCCCAGTCCCGGTGGGGAGGCTGCGGCCGAGAGTGGGGAGTGAGAGACGAGGGAACCTGGACTGTCTCCTGCTTCCACCCTGAAGTGATGGGGCCTGGGCCGAGCAGGGCAAGCTGGCCTCGGGGGCCACTGGCCAGTGAACATTCTGGCCCACTTGCAGGAACACCAGACCGTTGTCTACCAAATGATCCAGCAGATCCAGCAGAAGCGGGAGCTGCAGCGGCTGCAGATGGCCGGGGGCTCCCAGCTGCCCATGGCCAGCCTGCTAGCAGGGAGCTCCACCCCGCTGCTGTCCGCTGGCACTCCTGGCCTGCTGCCCACGGCGTCTGCCCCACCCCTGCTGCCCGCAGGAGCCCTGGTGGCTCCCTCCCTCGGCAACAACACCAGTCTCATGGCCGCAGCAGCTGCAGCCGCAGCAGTAGCCGCAGCGGGCGGCCCTCCAGTCCTGACTGCTCAGACCAACCCCTTCCTCAGCCTGTCCGGGGCGGACAGCAGTGGCAGTGGCCCCAAAGGAGGGGTGAGTAAGGGGTCCGGGGCTGTCCTTTCTTCCTTCTCCGGGAGGGGCAGAGGTGAAACATCAGCAGGTACATCATCAGATAAGAAGTGTCATCAGGAGGAAGGAAGTGGCACGTAGGTCAGCAAAGCACCCTGCTGCACACCCAGGGTCTCTGCTAGCACATGCGTAACCCTCCTGCAGATCCAAGGAAGATGCACTCTGATCATGGAGCAATTAGAAAACAGCATTCCTCTGGGAAGACCAATTAGATAAGGTCATTTTCGCTCTGGGTGGGCCATTTCCAGAAAGGCCCTCCCTTCTCCCTCTGAGGGTGTACAGAGCACAGGGTGCTGGCTTCGGTTGGCACGTGTCTGCCTAGCCCGGCACCCTTTTGCAGGGCAGCACACGTAACACAACCCACTGTTGGCTGGTGTGCGCCCGCCCTAGCCCAGGCCCAGGAGCTGCGGCCGGGCTCCCTCACTGCACCCTGATGATGCTTTCCTGTCGCAAGGAGCTGGTCTCAACTGGGTGTCAGCACCAGACACCTCCCAAACCCCCAGCCTCCCTTCCTCTCTTTCCAGACCGCTGACAAAGGAGCCTCAGCCAACCAGGAAAAAGGCTAACTCTACCCACACCCCTCCTGACCCCTACAGTGAAGGGGCAGACCTGGTCTGAGGGGACCCTAGCCTGGAGCAGGCACCTGCGCCCAGACACTGGAGAGTCCTGCCCCAGAGCACGTGCCGAGACCTGGGGAGTGTGGGGTGCACCTGGTCCTGACGACCGAGACCGAGAGGGGGCGCCGTCCATTTTGCCCCCCTACCCCTCTGCCCTCACCCTTTGTGGGGAGCTCAGAGGGAGGACAGGCTCCAAGCCCGCCTACTCTCAGCCAATGTAGCCAATGTGCTGAGATCCTCCGCAGAGCAGCATGGGCCGTGGCGTGAGTGGGGGGTGGGTTGGGCCCCCCCCACATAAAACGGATCAGCACTTGAGTGGGAGAAGCGGAGGACAGGCCCTGGGCCTGCCCCTGCGCAGAAACCTGTTGTGGGAGATGCGGTGGCCCTACTGTACCTGCGGCGCCTGCCCAGCGTGGGCAGACGGCAGGAGGGACCCCCGGGCTGTTTCTTACCAGTCCCCTTCCCCCCAGCGAGGGTCACAAGCTGAGCTTGTAAAAGCCCACAGACTGGGGGGCTGAGGAAGGGGCAGGATGGCCTCGAATGCAGTCCAAGCCTCCCCACCTCTGCGGGGGGAGGGGCCCGGTGATGGATTGGGGGAGGGCAGGGAGGGCGAGGCCCAGCTCCTGGGCGCCCTGCCCCTTTTTGCACTATTGGATTTAGGAGTGCCGAGGGTGGGGAGATGGAGCTAGCTGCCTGACTCAGAGAGCTTGCTTGTGTGTGTGTGTGTGTGTGTCTGTCTGTCTGTCTGTCAAGTCTGTCAAGTCTGTCTGTCTGTCTCTCTGTCTCCCCCTCCACCCGGGGCAGCCAAGGGCAGGGATGGGAGCAGCGCTCAGAGGGTGGTCTCCCAGCTCTCGTTTGCACCCTCCCCACCTCCCCACCTTGGGTCCCTTCTCGGGGCGTGGATGGTTCACAAAAGCAGAACAGTACTCCAGTGTCGGAGAGTGACTGGGGGCTGAGGGCTTTGAATCAGGGTAATGTCCTGCCTCCCCTTCCCCAGGCCCCATATGGTCTCAGCGGCCCCTCCGAGTTCCTCCTCCCCCACTGGTAGCTGGTCCTGCTTCCCTGGCACAGGGGGAGCCCCAGGGATTGGGGTACAGGGCAAGGGAGGGCAAAGTCACTTCCCATAGGGAAGACCTCCCTCCCAGAATTAGACCACCTGCTTCCCACACCTTACCCCCAGCCCCCAGGGGAGACTAAAGCTTACGCTGACCTAACAACCATCCCTTCACCCACCAGCGATTTCCCCCAGGATATAGTGGGCAACACTTTAATTCTCACCTTAAGAAGTCCCCACCCACCCAGAGCCTTTGGTGGCAAAGGCCTGGGGGCCAGAGGGGCGGCCAGGAGCGGGGCAGGGTTGCGTCTGTTTCGGTTGCACTGGGGCCGGCGCCGGGAGGAGGCGCTGCCCGCTCTCCCGGTGCTCCTGTCTCGTCAGTCTCTTTGCATGTGTGGGTTGTGTGTGTGTGTGTGTGTTTCTGTTTGGATTTTTGTTGTTGTTGGGTTTTTTTTTTTAATAAAGAAAAGAAGATGTGTATATTTTTGGCAATGACAGAAACGTAGTGCAGATATATTTTTGCCTGTGCTGCTCAACTGGTTTTTTTCTGATAACTGAAAATAATATTAATATGACTGTTGATAAGACTTTGTAAGATGTTAGGGGACTGGTAATGGGGGGTGGGAATCCTTCGGAGGCAATTTCTTAGGCACTTGCAAGGGCTTGGCGGGCGGGTAGGGGAGGCAGTTGTGATGACCTCAAAAATACTCACTTTTTATTAATGCTAAATATCAGTTAGGAAGAAATGATAGAATTCAGCATTTTATTAATCTTCATCTATTAAGCTATCTAACTCCCTGCCCCCAAATCACTGAAAGAAAGAAAAAAAAAAAACCTTCAGAAATCCTTAGAAGAGCTGTTCACTCACACCCATGGCCTTGCCCGAGACCCACCGCCCCCTTGGAGCTGAAGTCGGCTTCTGGAAGTGCATCTGCCCCGAGGCTGCTGCGGCAGAGAGCGGGAGGTCCACATGATTGAGTGCACTGGAAACCGAGACCTCCTCCCCTGTCCCAGCACCTGAGAGCCTGGGGTTCTCCTCTCCGCAGTCCGTGTTGTCCAGCTTCCCCCAGGCTGGGAGCAGCAGCAGGCAGGCGAGATTTGAGGACGGGACCTAGGCTAGGTAAGGAGTGATGCTGTCCCTGGGGTGGGGGTGGGGCAGGAGAGAGGCAGTCCCTTCTCATCTTTTAGGGAGCTTTGTAATAAGAAAGGTCTGGAGGTCTTCCGGAAGGAGCAGGGTCCCAGTGGGGGCGAAATGGCTACATGGATCTAACCTGCCTCTCCCAGGCTCAGTCCCCTTTTCCAGGATGAATGTGGACGAGGTGTGGGAAGGGGTGCAGGGGTGGAGACCGCTCTGTCTAGGGGAGGGAAGGGTGTGGTCTGCAGGGCGGAAGTGAAGTTTGAGAGCCTCATGTGTCCCCACCCTCAACGTGGAAATGTGAGTGGAGTGTGTGTGCAGAGCCTCGGTCTGGCCTCGAGGTCACAGCTGGTGCATGAGTGTCAGGTGATACCTTCACACTGAGGAGGGGCAGGGGCTCAGGAAGAGCCAGGGCCACCCTGGGGACCCTGGCCTTCTGGTCCTCTGTTTGCCCCCTCCACTGCACCACCTCGGTGTGGGTGTGGCTGTGTGTGTGTGTGTGTGTGTGTGTGTGTGTGTGTGTGTGTGGCGTGAGTACAGGGGTGTGCCCAGGGTGGGAGGGTATCTAGCACTGACTGTCTCAGCTCAGAGCTGATGGGTCCTCTCCATAGACAATGCCACTTTAAAGGATGCTTTTTAAAAGTGTTTCCTGTGTGTGAGTTTTCCCCTCAGGCTCCTGGGTCTTGCGCTGCCTCCAGGTGCCCTTACTTTGAAGCCGCTGAGAGCACCCCTGCCCTTCTTGCTCTGAGTTCTGGGGAGTTCTCCTAGGGAGGGCCTAGACAAATGAGGGGAGAGAGCCAGAGGCCAGCTCGAGAAAGGATCATCTTCATCCTTCCCTTTCCCAAGCTGGAAAAGCAGACACATTTTCAAAGGCACAATCTACCTACCCCCCGCTGCCAGCTGCCAGCATCTTCTTTGGTGTGCAGCAGGCCAGAGTTAGGGGTAGGCAGCCTACTCCCAGTTCCCCTGGGGAAGAGCCTGTTTTCCTGGGGAGAGGTGTCTGGGGGGATGAAAGTCCTTTCTGTTGGGAAATGGATGGCAGGTGGGGCCCAGGGGCTTGGTTCCCGCCAGTCACATCCATCAGACCAAAAATGTCTAGCTCCTGACCGCCGCTCTGACTCAATCTCCCAAAAAGTTGGGGGCAGAGGGGTGCCTTCATTGCCCTTTGTTTGCTTTCTCCAGCCCAGCTTGGGACTGGGTGGCAGGGCAGGAGACCCAAACCCTGGCCCGCCCACCCGCTTTCCATCCCAGCCGGTCTCAATGTAGCGGACCCCCCTAGGGGAGCAGGGAGGGGAAGCCATGGTTTGCAAACCCAGGGCTCCTTTATCATTCTTTCTAAAACCTCCTTTCTATCCTCAGCCCAAAAGGCAATACCCGCCCCGCCCCCGCAACCTCTAAGCCTGGAATTGTGCATAACCCGGATCTTGTATCTTTGTATAACGGATGTTATTTGTACGAAGGGCAGTTCGTAAACAGCACTTGTTCTTTTAATAAAAGAATGTTTTACAAAAAAAAAAAAAAATCCAAAGACATCCTGCTTTGTTTGGCTTTTTCGAAGGGAGAGGGAGGCGGCCTGCCAACCGTGGGAGCCTTGGCAGGGAGTGGGGTGGGGACGGCCTATTACATCTCTTCTTGCACTCGGCATCGCTCGCCAGAATGCACAAAATACCCAGGCTGCATATCGAACACTCAGATACCTGCGCCCCACCCACAAGGATGTGAGGTGTAGGCCAGGCTGGCGGGAATCTTGTTAAAAAAAAATGTAAAACAAGCTCCCTAGGTGATGAGATGTAGCTGCACTCCCAGCAACACTGTCTGAGACGCAGCAGGAGAAAACGGCTCCCCCGGGAGGGGCCCGGCTCACACGGGGGCCGGGGGATGCGGCCCGGGAGGGAACGAAAGGCAACCGACGCTGTGCTGCGCGGATCGTTCCGCAGACTTGCGGGTACCGAAGGGGACGTCCGGGGAGCCCGGCCCACGCCCCCCAGGAGGCCCGAAGAGGCTGGGGTGTGGTACTTGGCTTGGCTTCCGGCCGTCCGGGTAGGACCGGACTGCGTAGGCCCGCGGCCCCCACCCGCAAGCAACCCCGCTGCGTCTTCCGGACCGAGGCGGGGCCGGCAGGCCCGGAGGCGGGGGAAAGCGGGAAGGTGACCCGGCCGCGGGGCGGAGCCGACGTACCCGGGCGCGGCGGCCAGGACCAGCATGGGCGGCGTGGGCCCGCTCCTGCGTCCGGTGGTCTGGGTGAGCATCCCCCTCCGCGGCGCGGCCCGGGCCCGCCTCTCCTCGCCTGCCCCTCGGCGGAGCGTCCCCCTCCAGTCCCCGCGTCGCCCTGTGCTCGCAGCCTTCCCTGAGCGCCTGCTGCGTGCCAGCACCTCCCCAGCGACTCTCCTTCCTGTCCTGCGACCCCATTTTCTTACCTCCTCATTTGTCCTGCACCCCTCAGCGGTCGTCTCTTCCCTGCCAGATAACTTCCCCCTGGAAGTTCTCCGCTTTCCACTGACTTTATGTTTTTGTTTCCACACCACCGTCTGGTGATGACTGCGTGACATGCAGAGGCTGAACCAGAGGCGCGACATCTCCTCTTGGCTGGTAAGTACCTCCAGTTTCTCCTCTTCTCTGCCCAATGTCCCCAGGCCCAGAGACTCCAAAGGTGGACACCGGGGAAGGGAACCAGAAAGGGTCAGCCCTGCTTCCGGGACTCCAGCCTGCGAACGCCACGCCACCTCCCCATGGCTCGGGGGAGGTAGGCTGACCGAGCGCACAGGGCGGGAAGCCAGGCTCCCGCGCTGGGAAGCAGCGGTGCCTGCTAAATGAAGCCTCAGGTGCAGTGGGCCTGCTTAGGCTGGCAGGGTCTGCCCGCCCCGCCCCAGCACGTGGGTGGAGCCAGGGCTTGTAGAGACCGCACCTGGGCCCCAAAACCTGAATGCCTGCGTGGCCTTGAAGCCTTTCCCCGTCTGGAGCTCAGGGTACGTACGGTGTCCTGGGGGGAATGTCCTTGTTGGGTGCCATCAGATCAGCTCCTGCAGAGGAACAGCCACAAGCTGTGGCTTCCTGCCACAAGCCAGAGCCAGCGGGAAACCGAACAAGGCCATAGGCGGGAAAATGCTCCCAGGACCTGGGCTGACCCCAGGCCCTTCATCTTTCCTGCCACAGGCCAAATGGTTCCCCAACATCCCAGCCAAGCCCGTGGTGGCCCTGAAAACACCCATCAAGGTGGAACTAGTGGCAGGGAAAACCTACAGGTGGTGTGTGTGTGGCCGCAGCAAGAAGCAGGTGAGAGACCCCTACCCCACCCCTCCCACTGACATAGGATGAGCCTGGTTGGGAAAGCAGGCTGTCTCCTGGGAACTCCCTCTCAAGGGAAAATACTCTCAGGCCAGCGCCTCCCAGAGCTTCAGCTCTGTCCTCTGCACCCGCTCTCTGCGGTAGCCCAGAGAGACAGAAACAGCCACACCGCCAGGCAGGTAGAGCCCAGGGTTCTGGACTTTGCCTCTGGTGCTCCCTCCTCTCAGAGGCTCCTTCCAGGTTCCCCTTCTAAGCACCGAATCTCTTGCCTGTCTCTTCCTCTCTTCTTGCTCCTTCCAAGAAGCATCTAGGCCAAAGGATCCCAGCCCTGGGACCCCACCCAATGCTGGGGAGACTCTGCCTAGCTCTGCTGCGCCCAAGCGCCCCTTCCCAGTGTCTTCCCCTGAAAACCCTCCCCTTGCCATTTATGTGGCTTTCCTGGTTGCCTGCCACAACCCACTGTCTTCTCAGCCTGGCTGCCAGCTCCCAACTGGACTCGTCCCGTCTGTGCCAGGTGCCTTTCGTCCAGCAGGAAACTGCTGCACATCCCTAGCCTCCAGGGCCCCAGCTAAGCTCAGAACCGTTTGTGGTGTCAGCAGCCCTGCTTTGCCACTGATTGGACTTTGAGCAGGTCCTCCCCTAGGGGTGGAGCAGTAAGGAATGCCAGCTGGAGTGTGGCTGTGCCTCCCTGCCTCATGTCCTCTGGGACTGGTGCTAACTTTTTTCCCTGCATATCCCTCTCATCTGTCCTCCTACCCCACCCTGACCCCAAGGTCAAAAGGCCCCCCGAATAGCACATCACACAGCACCTCTGTGGGCCTCGGTTTCCATTACCCAGTCTCTGCTTGAACACCTCCTGGGATGGTTGGGGAGTGGACGCAGGCACCAAATGGCCAGTTCACTAAGGGACAGCTCCTTCCTCCCTGTTACCGTCCACTCCCTGCAATGTGCCCAGTTTCCTGGAGCTGAAAAATGGACACTGCAGTCTTAGAGCCCGGACACATGCAGGCTCCCTCCGGCCCCATTTTTACCCAAGAATATGGGGGGAAAAAGTAAATTTCATGAACCAGTGGAGACTCAGCCATTTATAAAACAACAGCAAACTTATCAGTGTAAATGGTGCTGATAACTAAGGCCCCAGTGTCACCTTGAAAATGCTGTGTCCTGGAGACTGAGGCTGCAATGACCCAAACTCCCTGTATGCAAAGTGCATGATACATGGTTATTATTTCCGTGGGACAGCTTGTCTCACTGCTCTCACATCACGGATAAGAGGCAGACCAGTGTCACTCAGGAGCCTGGGTCCTCACCACTGCGCCCGCGCAGCCCCACCAGGTGGGGCCAGGGCTCTAACTTCTTTCTTTCCCTCACCAGCCCTTCTGTGACGGCTCCCACTTATTCCAACTCACTGGCCTCTTCCCACTCAAGTTCAAAGCCCAGGAGACCCGAACAATGGCCCTATGTACCTGCAAGGCCACTCAGAAGCCCCCGTACTGTGATGGCACCCACAGGAGTGAGAGGGTGCAGAAGGCAGAAGTGGGGTCCCCGCTCTGAGCAGGTGGCTGCCGCTCCGCCCCAGGCCTCTGTGACAGGTGTCCCCTTGGTGGGGAAGGAAGATGAGTGCCAAGCCCAAGAAGGCATCATCCACGGACCCAAGTGCCAACAGCTGGCCTGTGAAGGACTCGCCTCCCACAACCTGAGGTCTCGAATCTGGGGCAGCCGGGAACGGGTCCCTGCTTTAACCCCTGCTGTTGGAGAAGAGGGCATTAAACAGGCCTGCCCGTCCCGAGTGGTGTCCTCGTGGTCACTGGTGGGAGGCACAGGGCCTCCCCCTGCTCTGGATCCTCTCACCTGGTGTGGGGACACCTGACAGATGTCGGGGGTGGGGGGCAGCTCAGGTTTATCCCATATGGGGTCCCCCAAGGCAAGCTGACCCCAGAGACAAGAGGCAGGAGGAGGTGGCCAGGGGACTCACCCATCCTTTCCCTGTCCCCTCTGCCCCAAAGAACTAGAGGCTCCAGAGAGTATGCAGCATTTATTACAAAGCCAGGAGATACAAATGTCCCAGGGTGGGAGGAGGGTACAGTCACAGCACCCCAGACACAGGACAAGGTGCAAACACAGACAAACCCACTGGGGGGGACCCAACCCCAAACACCTAGGTTGTGACAGAGTCTTGCATCCTCACCCCCTCCCCACTCTGATCTATGCACATTGAAACCAGGTGGGCAGGGACCTGCGGAGCCTGCCCCTCAGGATGGAGTTGAGGGCAGGGACTACACGCGTCTGTCTGCTTGTGCTTTCAGATGCCCCTGAGGCTCTTTCCTGGCTGGGCCTCAGCTGGGGGTGGGGAGGGGACTGGAGGGCTGGTTGCTTTTGGCAATATCCAGGGTCTGTGCTTGTCTGAGGTCAATCCCACTGCACCTCTCCACGCTGGGCCCCCAAGTGAGACTTCATCACCAGGCTTGCTGGCAAGGGTTCCCTGGGTGGGGGCGGAGGGCAGGGGCACAGGGGGTGGAGCAGTTCACAACGCTGGAGCCACAATGGAATTTCAGGGACGGTGGCCTCCCCTGGCCTGAATCTCCTCTTCCACAAGAAAAATGATGCGAAGGCCACATACACGGGGGGGGGAAGAAGGCAGAACTATCTATTCTTTGCACAAAGTTCCCACTGCAGGAGGGGGTACGAGGGAGATACCATCTCCACCGCCCACTTGCTCCTCACAACCAGGGGATAAACTGCATGTGTAAAAGGCACTGTCTTAGCAGGTCTCGGGACATTCAACATGGGCGGGGAGGGGGGCGGTGCCGGTCAGGTCAGGGCAGGACAGCAGCCGAGATGGGGAAAGAGGGCGGGCCCCACACACAGCCAGAGTTGTGCCTAAACCTTTGGGGGCTGGTGGGCCCTCCAGTACCCCCATCTTCCTTGGGAGGAGGATGGGGCAGAGCTTTGCTGAGCCTCAGGTGGCCCCTCGGGTCCATCCAGGCACCCCCCGCAAGAGAATAGAGCAAATTACACAAGAACCCCTAAAAATGAATGCCCATCCCCCACACATAACATACACATAAAGTCTGTTTCCTGTGGCATTTAAATTAATCTGGTTGGTCCATAGAAAATAAGTATGTATATTTGGTTTTTCCTATGTACATATATATATAGATTTATTTATAAAACCCACCCCCCCACCCCTAAGGTGGGAGAAGCTGGGGAAAGTAGAAGAGGTGGAAAAAGGAGCCC